CCCACTGCCATAAACAGACCCCCCTGAATTGATCCTTACCAAACGGATTCCTGAACTACAGGTAGAGTAGCAATGTAATTAATCTTCTAGCCTGTGTGCTTGTTTTGAGAACAAGGAGAGGCCTAGAAGCAGGTGTAAGGCAGGGATGCCCCGGGACTTGCAGTCACCCCAGCCAGGTTTTTGTGGTGCCCTCTGCCCCGTCATTACCCCCGTATCTGTTTGAAAACGGACTTACCCTTTGGTGCCGAGTAGATGGGGTGTTTGAATGCCATGGCTGGTGAGCGAACAAATGGTAACGAGAGACTTTAGAGTTCTTCACCCAGGTTGTCCACCTGGCTTTTAGCATATTCTTTCTGGTTGGAATCTTCTAAGTGAGCAAGGATGTCTGAGCTCTGCACCCATGCAAAGGGAAAGCAGAATCAACCTGATGTGCATTTGAAACCAAATTAGAAAGTCCATTGTGGAGGTGGTATTTATAGTCCTGCCTACAGTATTGAACCAAAACCTTACTGTGATTGTTGAAAGGAGATGTGTTTTGGTTAATAGCAGCCTGTTGAAACCCTATCATTATGGACCATTTGTATATCTATGCTGAAGGGTAGTGCCACACAAATGCCTAGAAATAGTCCTTATGTGAGACTTAAATTAGAAGATCCACACAGGCTCTGTAGTAAATACAGTGCGATACAGTCATAGTGCTGAGTTGCTATTGTAGAGGGCTCAGTTGTCTGCCTGGAACTGTGCCTTGGACCTTATGTGGTTTCTTTCACTTAGTGCTCAGAGAAGCCCAGTTGAGGGAGTGGGTGGGGTGTTGTTGACCACAGACTGGTTGAGACTGAGCAACACCCCCAAGGCTACACTCCTGTTAAGTGGAAGACTCGGGACTCAAACCCAGGCAGTCTGACTCAGAGAGATGCTCTTGCCTGCTTGCTAGTCAAGTCTGTGCTACCTGTTATTAAAATTAGCTAATTATTACAACACTACCTCTTCTAGGGGTAATACTTTGTAGAGCTCTTTCTCATACATGGCCATCTTTGATCTTGAGGTGGCAGAGGAGTAAAGTGAAGGGGCAAGGCTGTCTCTTTAGATTGCTGAAGGGATCAGTTTTCCAGCTGACTTGCCAAAACCGCCTTAGTGAGGTCTAGGTTGGATTTCAAAGTAGGATCTGGAATTTTTCTCATTTTGAGATAACATGATTTATTATGGTAATTATAACTGTCTTTAAAGCTTATCTTTTACTAATAAAGCAATCAGGATTTTACATACAAAACATAAATTATTATTTTTTTTCTCGGCTTCTCCTTGTTTCCCCCCTCTTTCCCTTCATTAAACATCTACCTTGTTCTTTTTAATATTCCAATAGAATTGTTTATTTTTTTAAAATACAGAGCTTTTCTTTTAAAGTTCATTTGAGCTGATGATTCTTCAGAGATTTATATTAAATATTCACATTTAAGGTATTTTGTTCTCTTTGGATTGGCCGCTGGCTTCCTGTTCATAACAAATTTGCTAGTGTATTTACATGACCAAACTGTAATAAGAAAATATTAATGTTTAATGTTTCTAGATTTGTAGACTTTTATGGAATCATGATGCAGCTCTAGCATGTTTCTTATGTAGTTAGAGAAATAGCTAACCTAGCCAAGCTTTTAAAATAAGACTAAAGAAATGAAAATAAGCGTTTCTTGTAAAAGCGTGACTTTGTCTTTATCAGTATTTATCGAATTCCCAGCAAAGATGGAGGCGGTCTTCTACTGGCAGAATGGTAGACTTGTAAGATTCATGATGAGAGTCCGTGCCAAGTCCAATTTGATTCTAGAGCAATTATGCTATTAAAACATCGTTATTGCCCCAGTGCCCATTGTTTAGCTTAACCTTTAAATGCTAGTGATAATTAACTACTTTATCGTTTCTACCAGGAAGCTCCAACATGTAACTCTGATCTATAGTAAAATCCACAAATAAAATACTGCTCAGAGAGCCTGAAACAGCCAGTTTAAAAAAACAACAAAAAAACACAAACTGTTTGTACATGTGTGCCAATAAATGAGCATAAAAATCTAAATAAACATTACCAATTAGTATTAATTTTTAAAAAAGTATTTCATCATTGTTTCTTAAATCAGTTTGGCCTTTTGGACAGAGTGGAAATAACTCAGTAAAGCATATCAGAATCAAAAGGCTCAAATAGTGTTAACCATATACATGTACATTTATTTTTTTTCTTTTTGTAAAATATCAAATTAGTAGGATGAAGGCACCTAGAAGTAGTTTAAGGAGTAAAGATGAAGGAGGGCAGAGCTTCCATATTGCCAGTTCCAAGGGGCACCACTACTCAGATCTTACTCTAGCGAGTAGTTTCCCAGGGAACTGTTCAGCCTGGAGGCCCACTGAAAGGTAATGTATCACAGGAATTTGGGATTAAGATTAAGGAGTGCAAAGGGGATGTTTTGTCATTTATGTTCAGAAACGTTTCTGGGCAGTTCTGTGCTGCTCCTTGTGCCGGAACGGTTGCCCTGCCTCCAGAAACCTACAGTCTGGAGTGGGAAATGGCCTTGTAAACAAATAGCCCTGAATTTACTGTGAGGGCTCTACTCACTGGTTGAACAAAATGTTAAGGGGACAAAGAGGAATGAGTGATTAATTCTGCCTGCCAGTATCTGAAGGAGCTTTGAAAAGTGATGTTAGAGCTTGTTCTTAAGAATGAGGAGATTTCAAAGGGAAGATACTGAGGGAAAGAGCATTCTCATAAGCCAGGAAAAAGGGCTACAGTTGCACTATAAACACACGGAGCACTGGGGAACAGCAAGCTCATAGTGCTGAGACAGGCCAGGAGCCCAGGTGGGGCATGAAGCAAAGTGCCTTAGAGAATAACTCTACCCAGACATTTTGGTGGTGGGAAACCATTTGTTACTTCTTCTTAGGGATTTCATTTGTTGAATATCTGTTTAGGAAATACAAATCCCAGAAATGTGGAGGACAGGGGAGAAAGTAAACCTGGGCCTCTGCACTAATACAGTGGCTCACAGATGATGGGTGTGTGTGTGATTTCAGTGGAGTGATCCTGGTCATGAAAACCTGAGTTCGTTGGGTCCTGGTGTGAAAGCAAAGCAGAAGCATTGAACCAAGTATAGCTTGGGGACAAGGAATGGAACTCAGTGGAGATATATGAAAGTCAGGAAGCAGTCCACTTTTAAAAATTGTTTGGCTTCTAATGTTTGGTTTCATTTAATAATGCCAGCCATCTTTTTAAATAATGCCTGCCATCTTTTCTGCCACTAAGCTTAAGGGTGAATGTTTGTAGGGATAGTTGCTCGGTTTGGTGCCTACATCTAGAGTAGTCATATAAAACCTTGAAAGGGACTGGTACCAGAAGGAAGGGTTTAGAACCAGCCAGCCCCTATTGGTGGGAACCCACTCACTGGTCGTTCTCATCGTTCTCCAAACTCCCACCCTACATCGCTGCCTTTGGAGCTGGTGGTGGAGTTGCCATCACTACAGCTGACCACTAGGGGGTGATCTCTTAGTAGCTGTACCAACCCAGGTGTGAAAAAGTTTATTGGTTTTCCTCTAACTACATGCTTTGAAAGTTTAGCCAAAAAAGAGAATGTGGCATCATGGTGCAATGGAAGTAAAACAGAATATAGAGCCTGAAGTTCTGGCTATTACACTGGGTCCCAAAGTTAATTAAAAGGCCCCTGGAAATTTTGTGTGTCTTTATGAATGTTAATTATTACTAACAAAGTAAGGTAAAAAAAAAATTACAAAGAATTAATTTTATAGAAGACCTTCCTGAACAGTTTTCTGAACTGAGTTGGATGCCAGGCAAGGATGTTCTGGCAGTGACTCTTTGTTCTTCCTAGAACTTCTGTTCTTATCTCCAGGTACCCTTTGTCCTCCAAGACCAGCCCTTTCCTACCAAGGCTGCACTAACTTTGAACTTGGAGTCTAGTCTTGGAGCCCTACTGAGGGACTTGGCTCCTCAGCCTGTAAAATTGGCAGGTTACTCCTGCACTCAGCCCTGCTCCCTCTTTTAGGCTTCACCTTTATGTAGAGCTTCTGTTTGGTATTTCTGGAACTGAGTCACTAGCCAGTTCCTAAGGTTAGTTCCAGTTTTCATCAGTGCTTTTTCATCTGTGGTTTTAAGCTCTCATATCATCTAAATGTGCCCAGTAACCACCTGGCCTTAATGGCAGACAGACTCATTCACTGTGCTTCAGATCTTGTCACTGGTTTTTGTTTGCTGTATGTGAGACTCCTTGGGTTGAGAACTCTTTGGAAGAGCAGAGATGACAGAGGTGGCCTGAACTCGTACAGATTGCCCCTGACCGTGATCCCAAGAGGGAGGGACCACCTTCCTCCATTCCGTGGGCCTAATGGGGTTCCGGGTTTCCAGAGATAAAAAGGGGCAGGCTCATGATAACTCTAGGAACAAAGGAACAAAGTACATTTTTTTTCTGCAGCTGTGGGGTTTTTTTGTTTGTTTGTTTGTTTTGTTTTAATCTGTCAGTGCATCTCCCAGGTCCTTAAGGTACTAGATGAAGCAGAATTCTGTAAATATGACCATTGTGCACATGATCATCATTTTGGGGAACCTCTCCTCTTTTTTTCATTGAAGAACTACTAATTATCTCTCAAGCTGGACTCTAAATTATTCACAGTTTCTCTGTGGAGGCTTAAAATACCGGCTTTCCATTAGCCAGCCAACTTCAAGAAAAGGTGCCTGCCTTTTTCTTCCTTACATTTTCTCTTCTATCTACTTCCTTTCTCAGCTCTCTAAAGCTTTCCTCCGGTTCCTTTTCCCTTTTTCTTCTCCTTGTTTCTCTCTGTATACCTGTTTTCTTGTTCCTGTCACCTCCTCCCCTCTCTCCTGTTTCCTCTTACCAGCTTTGCAAGTGTGTGCTAATGAACAAAAAGGAGATAAAGTCTCAATTGATTCAAAAAACCACACTGTTAAATGACTGATCATCTGTCAACCCTGCTTCTCTTTCTGATTTCAGAGCTCTTCTGTATCCCCATCAGCCAGTTTCCGAGGTGCTGAGAAACACAGAAACTCCACGGACTACTCCTCTGATAGCAAAAAGCAGAAAACTGAAGAAAAGGAAATTGCAGCTCGTTATGTAGGTTCATTCACCTTTGCTTTGGGTGGGGGGAGGCCAGTTTACCTTGCTTTTTATCAGCAGCCATGTTACCCTTTGACTGTTACCAGCCAAAACTAGAATACAGTATAACAACATCCTAGGAGGAAAAAAAATTTTATGGCAGTCCAAGTTTTGTCTTAATTTGCTAGCCTAAAGTCCTGCTTGGGCGCAGGTGAGCACACATGTATGTGAGTGAGAACAGAGTGCCTTTATCTGGCAGCTAACAGAAGACTTGGGTGTTCCATATTACTGTTCCTATAGATGTATGTGTTTCCCTCCATATAGTCCTAGGTGGCTGAATTTCTTGTGGTCAGCTAGAAATGGTAAAGGAAAATATAAAATCACAGGAATCCTGTTACAATGTTTAGATGAACTCCTGTGCTGAGGAGTACAGAAAGTGTGTGGACTGGGACTTTGTCCTTGGTGTGGGTTGACACTCGTTTTTCTTCAGTGACTGGTTCTTTAGGTCACATAGTAAAGGGAGCAAGCTGGATGGGACTGGGATGGAGAAAAGCAGTCCCCACTCTGCTTCCTGTGGTGCTGCCTAGCAAGACTACAGGCCTCAGGGAAAAACAAAAGCTGAAAATTAGGATTTTTGTGTGAAAACTCCCAATTTAAATTGTGGCTACTTACCCAGTTTTTAAAAAAATCACTGGCAGAACACATCATGCCCATGTGTAGGCGGATTCAGTGTGTGCGTTCCAGTTTGCAGCTGATACTCTAGACTAGAGTAACAAGGAAGACATAAGCTTTGACTTTTCATGCTATAAAGTGGAATCATCATATTAGCTACCTCAGAACTTCCAGCATGAAGATTAAAGAACAGTACATTGTAGAGTGGTTGGCACTGTTTGGTGCAGTTCATTTTTATAAGACATGACCAGTTAATCTGGATTTATCTAGGGTGAATTTGGCTTTTTTTTTTTACTGGGGGAGGAGATAATACTTGTCAATTGTCAATGCAGGACAGCGATGGTGAGAAGAGTGATGACAACTTGGTGGTTGACGTTTCCAATGAGGTATGTTTATGGTTCATTTAACCTCCTGTTCTTACCCAGTTCTAACAATGACTAGTGTCCTAACAATTAGCATCCACAATGTTTTCTTAATTTCTAAAAGGACCCGCTTTATATTTACCTGGAAAATTTGTGTATTACTGATATTCTTTGTTACTGATCCTCTTGTTACTGTGATTCTTTTCTGTGGTGTGCAAGTTTGTTTTGCTCCCACCACACATGCACACCAGGCCTCTGTGGTTAGCCTATAGATACCATTGACAAGTGACTCGCCAATTTTTAGGGTTTTGATTTTTGTTTTAAGTATATACTATAAATTTGTAGTACTTTCTTGGCCTCAATACTGAACATTTTCTTCAGTGATTCAGTGAGTCTTATTATCTCCAGAACATTTTGCGCTTCTAAGCTATTAAATACTTTCACCTAGAAACGTCCACACCCAAGTACTCCAGAATTGTGAATGTGCTGTGCTGCATTAATACCCGAGATGTTACTTTGTAGGATCCATCTTCCCCTCGAGGGAGCCCAGCACATTCCCCCAGAGAGAATGGCCTGGACAAGACACGCCTGCTCAAGAAAGATGCCCCCATCAGCCCAGCCTCAATTGCATCCTCCAGCAGCACTCCTTCCTCCAAATCCAAAGAACTTAGCCTTGTAAGCAGTTCTTCACCATCTTTCTTAGTGTTGCCTGTTTCGGGATGGTTGGGTTTGACTATTTTTTTAATTTTGTATTTTTCATATTTTTCTGTAGGACGTTTATTTCCAAATGTGTGTATACATTCAGTATTCAAGTTTAATTGACAGAAGTATTTTGGGAACAGATGGGTTTACTGACTTGTTAGTGATGGATGTTTATCTTGTGAGTCTTTCTGCAAGGCGAGAGGAGGGAGGTGGGGAAATTGAATGAAATGTGTCCTAGTGCAGATGAAGAAATGCACACTGGGGTTACAGACATAGTTTTGTCACCTGTGGTTTATGGTAAATTTAGTTTTTCGCTTGGATGTGATTTTGTTTCTAGTTTTGTTTGAATGACCACACTGTATATGACTGCATAATTTTACCTTTCTATCTCAAAAGTAATCTTGTCATTTATAAAAATCCACATCGACTCACACCACAAATAAATGCAAAATGAAAATGCTGGCAAGTCAGGACGACCTCTTCTAACCCCTTCTGTAACCGTGCAGTTAATTGCTTTTTTTGTGTGGTGTGTCTTCCTTTTTCCTCACCAATTATTTCCTTGTAACATAACATTAACAACAAAAATATACAAATTCAGTTTTTAAATAACCTTTTGAATTCACCACTAAAGGAAAAAAAATTGTCAGTTTGTCTGCATATTAGGGCGGGGCAGTATGTCTGACCATGAGCTAGATTTCTCTGTTTTCTCTCTGCCTGTTGGCCTTTTTGTTACAGCAACTCCTCTGTGCCAGTCTGTGTGATGATTCAGGCTTGCATCTTTTCTAATGGGACCTGTTAACAAGAAATCCCTTGTGACTTGAATAATACTCCAGGAACCCAACTCAAACCACTCAATCTTAAATCAAAGCCACCAGCAAGTGGCGGTCAAAGTCAGAACTTACGACTTGTCTGCCTCCATCTGATACTAGCCAGTTTCCTGGAAAGTTTCCTGGAAATGGTCTGTTGCTCTATCCTAAATTCAGCTACACTGTATGTTCTCCTGAACATTGGTTTTGTGTTCTCAGGGAACTATTTTTTTTTTAGCTCTTTATAATTAATGAAAATAAAGGCCCAAACTGAATAATCTTTTCCATTTTTCTTTTTTCTTTACCTTTTAAAATGTAAAACATTGTTTTGTTTTTTTATTATTATTTTTATTGATTTCAGAGAGAGGAAGGGAGAGCAAGATATAGAAGCATCAGTGTGTAAAACATTATTGTTTTTAAACATCATTATTAAAACTGTGTTCTCATTGCCAGTGTATCTTATTGCATCTCTTGTTAGAATGAAAAATCTACTACTCCTGTTTCAAAGTCCAATACCCCTACTCCACGAACCGATGCACCCACCCCAGGCAGCAATTCCACTCCTGGACTGAGGCCTGTACCTGGGAAACCACCAGGTGTCGACCCTTTGGGTTAGTAAGAAAAAAGTTTTTCTCCGTATTTATAAGTTGTTTGTTTTTTTAAAGAAATTAAAGCAGTTAAAAAGTGTAATTTGTTAAGAGTGTTAATAACCATCATTGAATGGCTGTTTGACAAAGTTATTTAACCCAAACCAGGCACCTGGTATCTACTATGTCTGGCACATAGTAGGTATTCAGTAAAATAAGGTGAATGAATGCACTCCAATGATGACTTGAATGATTTTGGAGAATATTAAAATAAGCTTATTTGAACCTATTTTCTTGATGTATATAAGAATGTCATACTTCATTATTTCCTGTGTTCTGGGCTTTTCTCTTTCCTCCTTCCATTTTCGTGTGCAGCTTCAAGCCTGAGGACCCCAATGGCAGTCCCTTGTCCGTACCCAGCCCCGTTTGGGATCGTGCCCCATGCTGGCATGAACGGGGAGCTGACCAGCCCTGGAGCCGCCTACGCAGGGCTGCACAACATCTCCCCGCAGATGAGCGCGGCCGCCGCCGCCGCCGCCGCGGCCGCCGCCTATGGGAGGTCACCGGTGGTACGTGTGCGGGTTCTTACGTAATGAACATTTCAGAGCACAGAGGACTGTCATACATATTCTTTTAATGTGGTTTGTATAATTGGAATTATTTATAGTGTGCATTTATAGGTTAAACTATATGTAATTATATCATGAGATCCATTTTCTTTTGTGAGGTAAATTTAAAAAATTTTATATTCAGTTAAAAAATTTTAAACGTACAAAAGTATAGCAAGTAGTATAATAATTTAGTGAATCCTTTCCATCAGGAACATGAATAATTATTAGTATATTTTTATGTATGTTCCTCTCCTAATTATTTTACCATGAAATCATAAACATCCCATCATTTCATCAATAAATAAGTACTTCTGTATATATTTCTAAAATATTATTTTTAAATAATCTGTTTTCCCAAGTTTTAGAAAAGATATTGAGTAGGATGAAATGAGTAAATGTAACTGTGTTTCTGTTTTGCTTGCAAAAAATTTTAGGTTGGATTTGATCCGCACCATCACATGCGCGTGCCAGCAATCCCTCCAAACCTGACAGGCATTCCAGGAGGAAAACCGTGAGTACCTCGGTGCCCCTGCTCATGGTGTGCCAGGCCCTGGGCCCTTTCTGGCCCTTTAGATTTTGAGTACTGCTAGACAGTGTAGGGCATTTCCCGTGGCTTGCATTTTTTCCCTTGCAAAGTATTTTCCATTTTCTCTGAGCACAACAAAAGAGGTAATGAGGTGGGGTTTTGTGTTTTCAATTTAAAATCTTGAACTAATAGGGAAATGCAAATTGCTGAGGCATCTCCAGCAATCAGGTTTTCTCTATGTCTGTTACAGTTTTCAAGGCAATTCTTCTGTTGCCTTGAAAAAAAATTCTTATGTGTAAACCGGGAGGGATGCTCAAAATTTGAGCATGTTGGGAAAGGACATGCCAGACTTCAAAGGCTGAAAAGAAAGACGTGTGGTTTTATGCTCAGTTGTATTTCTGGGAAAGGTGGCTTGCTCAGTTGTCAGTTGGCTTCTTGTCTTGGGAGCTGGGTATTGGGAGTCCCTGTATTCACAGCCCCCTTGCGTCATGAAGGCAGAACTCAGACACATCGTTCCAGCCTCCTCTTGGACATTTCGATCTCTCCAAATCTCATTCCTCATCCTTCATAGCTTTCGATTACTACCCATAGACAGTTCTCTCTGCTATTTGGCTTCATCTTCCCAGATACAATGAATTTACCATGAAATAACACTTGCTTTTCCTTTAAAATCCCAGCTTGCTTCCTCTCTCCTCTCTTTTGGGAAGCATCCCCTCCGATCCTCCCCTGCCTTAGTAGTCACATGTGTTTCTTACTCTCATTGCTCTTTCCATTGGCATCCTGTCTGTCTCTACACACCACATCCATGCTGCTTCCCCAATCTCTAGTGCTTTCTCACCTGCCCTTTGCTTTCCAGACTTGGTCCTCAGTAGGAGCTGAGTCCCCTTTGCTTAAGGCCCCCCACTGGCTTGCCTACCTTGGGGCATTTGCTCTTTCTTGTCCTTCCTGCACACTTCAGCTCTACTCTCGCCTGTTGTCTCACTTCAGGTCTCTGCTAAGATCTCACTTTATGAGCGTTCTGCTCCGACAACCCTATCTAAAATAGCATCCTCCTCTCCCTTTCTCTCCATCATGGCTCTTTTCTGTTCTTTGCCTTTTTCATACTTGTCTGTAGCTTTTTTCATACATGTATCTACCTCTCCCTGCTTGAAAGTAAGGTCCATGATAGCAGAGCAGAAGAACTCTTTGCTGTTCAGTTACAGAAATAGCTCCAGTGCCTAGAATGGCACCTGGTTCATAGTTGTTGATCACAGTTTATATCGGATGGATGGATGGATGGATGGATGGATGGATGGATGGATGGATGAAAACATGTGTCAGTCTCTCTCATCTCTGACTTCCCATTACTTATTTATTCACTAAGTATACTCTCAGGAACTTATCACCTTTTTATTTCCTGTGTGTTCTCATTCTCTCCCCAAGTTGCGTGCCCCTCAGTGTTAATCCTGACCTTGACCTTTTCTTCACTTTCCACCTGATACATCAAACTCTTGGTTCTTTTTTCTGTAACTTACTGCTTCACAGACTCTTTTCTGTTGGATCAGACACGTGCTGGCTCCATAGTCAGTTGTTCAGTAAATATTTGACATTAATAAAGGAGTTAAGGCAAATTAGACTTCAAGTTCCTTGAGAGTTGAAGGTATAATCAATTATAAAATTCTGTGTACTTATGTGTGTTCTGCAAATAGTTGTTTACTGACTAACAAGTCTTATTGACCAAGAACTCTGATGCCTTTGAAGGTGAAAAGTTTGGTCTATTGCAAGCAGTGACTAAATAACAAGGTCAAAGGATTAATCAAATCGCTCAAATACCTATGAGTTCCTTATGAAGCTATGGGGATGGAGGGGTTCGTCCTGTGTTCAGGTACAGCATCACTGCTTAGTTAATCAGCAGTCGCACCCACAGCTATAGTATAACCACCAGAGCAGGTAAGGTGGTGCTTCTCGTCTCAGCTGCTGCCCAGAGGCCACAGGGGTGAAAATGTATTAGGTGTATTTAAAGAAGCAATCACAGCCCTGTGTTTGGGGGTTTGAGCCAGTTGCACCACTGTAGAATCAACAGCTGGTCTGGTCCAAGTGGTACTTCTGAACCTTGAACTGGGCTCCCTTCCTTCCTTCAGTCTTGACTGTTAGTATTATAAAAATTTGTAATCCTTTTGGAAGGGTTGATGGGTTAGAGGGTAATTGAGAATTTTTGTTCTGGGAGTGATAAGTCACAGCTAATGCATTTGGCAAATGACACCAGGAATCCCAAAGAGAATGTGGTTTGGTCCACAGAGTATGGGTTCTGGAGTGAGGCAGATCCAAGATAGATTCTGACTCTGCCAGATGACAACTACGAAGAGAGTGACTTTATGTAGTTTTTTAACTTTGTGAGCTTCAGTCAGCTTATCTGTAAACCAGAGCTGGCACCACCCAACAAGGAGGACACATGAGGATGAAATAAGACAATATATTACATGTTTAGCACCATCTTTGGTACACAGTGCCTTATTCAGTCAACTGTAGCATTATTTTCTGTTTAGCTTTGCCTCAGGGTTTTATCATATTGTAGGGTGCAGAAATGGCCAAAGAAGATTAGACTGAGTAAATTAGACTCCACATTCCTGTTGTTGGTATGTCTTTTCTATAATGGCATCAAGGCATAAATTCACATTCATTTATACATATAGAGATAATACACTTTTATTATAGATTTTTACAGAAGAAATTATTATAATGATTATGTGGCTCTTCAGATTATAAGATACACAATTGTGAAATTTTGTGTTGTGCATATTTTTCAACAGAAAAACTATCTTTTGTGCTAGAACATAAAACATAATAAATGACCTAAGGTCTCCCCCACCACACACATACACAGACAGACAGACACACACACACACACACACACAGTAACTGTCCTTTACCACACACACACACACACACACACACACACACACACACACACACACAACTGTCCTCAAGAAAGACTTAAGAGTTGAGCATCTCTGTCCTAATTATTTTTATAAAATGAATTGCTAGATCTTATCAAAAATTATAATTAAATGCATGTTCCAAACTAATGAATAAAATAGCATTTATTTGATAATTCACATTGGGTCGTCTTGTCTATTCTGGTGAATTAGCAAGGGTTCCACTCAGTATGTAATTGGAATGACAACATAGTTTAATTTCAACCTAAACCAAAAATGGACTTTCTCCCCTACCTCTGCTTCAGTGAGGCTTCTATAAATAATGTGAAACTATTTGATTAAAACCGTGGTACTAATTGTATTATGGGCTATGGCATGTGAATTCAGCCATAACAAAGACCTCAGGTTTATGGTTTTAGGCTGCTCACAATTCAGAAATCTTTTCTTGCTGTTATATTTACTTGTTTTTATAAAGCAAGAGTTTTCAAAGTAGGAACAATGCTTGACACATAGTAAACCCTCAAGTATTTGTTGACTGGCTAACCTACTATTGGGTTCATATGCTACATACAGAACCTATTTTTCTATCATACTTCATAAAGTATTATAGCCAGGCTTTAATTGTGAATCCAAGGTCTAGTTTAGTCTTGAAATATCAAAAACTTGGAGAAGGTATTACAAAGTATGAGAAAGGTGACTATAAAATTACGAGCCTCTTAGGGAAGGTAAGGGAGGTGGGTTGTGGGAAAGCCAAGGACCTTCTTTAAGCTGGGTTTTCATCAAAAGATGGTGATCCAAATAAAATAACTGATATGCGTGTTTTAAAAAGAATGATTTGCAGATTCCTTGATTATTTGAAGTATAGTCCAAACTTCCTCTGTTCTGTTCACCATCTGCCTTAGAGATGCATTCTTAGCTCTTAGTAGCCTCACCTGCCTGTGTACGCACAGCAGGTCACTGTGTTTCTCTGGCTCCTTGCACCCTCTCCCTCCAGCGCTGTTTCTAGTTATTTGCTGGTCATCTCAGCTAGGCATCTCGAGTATGTATTACTTCCTCTTCAAATTCATCATATTCACAAAGTCCCTCCCAGACTTCCTCCCAATTTGCCCATTTTTCAGTAACTACTAATATTTTCTTTTTTCCTGAAATCAGAAACTCAGTTGTTATTGGCCCCTGCCTCATACCCCCTAAGTTGAGTCCTACAGAATCCTGTGTCTGTTACTTCTAGTGCTATCCTCCCCCTCCCTAGTTCAGGACCCTCACTGTGTCTTATCTAGAGCATTGAAGTAATTGCCTCTTACTCCTCCTACCATCGGACCCCTTGTTACCAAATATAGCCTATGAAGTGGTTTCCCCGGTGATATCCCACCCCTTTCCCTGAAAAAAGAAGAAGGAAAATACTCTGTATTATATATCTGTATACAGGGTGTTCCAGAAAATGTACATACACTATAAAGGCAGTGTTTATTACATTTCATTTTCAAAATGTAATGGAATCTACAGCTATCAGCTGTTAAAGTGTGTATACATATAGGACACCCTGTGTGTATGTGTGTGTGTGTGTATTTGCACTTAACCGNGTTAAAGTGTGTATACATATAGGACACCCTGTGTGTATGTGTGTGTGTGTATTTGCACTTAACCACTAAACATTAGTTGAATCATTATAATATCAGTGCAACATTGGTAAGTTGAGAGAAATATAAAGAGAATACAGCAGTAAAATGAGGAAGGGTGGGGCGGTGGGACAGGTAGGAGGCATAGGGGTAAGGAGAAGAGTCAGGTAAAGAAGAGGGTTACCGATGAGCAAGGTTTCTTATTCATCATTTTCATATAACTTCCATGCATATCTACCATTCATTGTCATTTTCATTCCAGCAACATTTCCCAAAGGGCAACTCTCCACCTGTAACTCTCTGAAGGCTTTGCTCACCATCTTGATCCCTGGAGCTAATACCCAGGGTGAAGAGCCTCTGTTAAATGATCTATCCAGTCACCTTTGAACTTTCTCCCACTAGGGTTGTATCCATATTCATTTCACCTTAAATTGGTTGATCTGTCTCCCTGCAGTTCCTTCTGAGTTTATTTGAAGTCTTTAAGGGGCCTTCATTAAATTCTGTTTGTGATGTTCTCAAGCTGGCATTCTAAGCCGCCTCTCTTATATCATTATATTGAGTTGTACATATATCTGATATATTTTATCAGATTGTACTCGGGCCAGCTCTTCCAGCCACTTACTATGGAGTCATTGTTGAATAAGTGAATCTCTGGATTAAAACCAATCCAGAAATTACCCACATCATTTCAGCTCATTTTAGACCCTTTGTCCTCTGCTATTCATCCCACCCCCACCCCCCACCCCGGGATCATTTTTCCATTTCTTTCCTCTTGGCGAAATCCTTCCATCTCTCGTACCATGTCTCTCGTGAAACATAAGCTTTGTCTTTCCTTTTTGAACCACCACAGAACTTCCTACTTTGCATTTTCCACCTGGTATTATAGTCACTTCTGTATTTTTCTCATCACACTTCCTAGATGGTAAACCATTTGTGGGCAAGGCCCTTGCCCTGCCTGATCTTGTATTCTTAGCATGACATAGCAGGGCGTGTGGGTAGGAGTGTACTTACTGATGCATCCAATTGGATAGAAAAAGAATAGTACTTCAAGCTTGAGCAGCTCTGATTTCTAGAAAGGTTGCCTTTTATTACTCATTCCTGTAACAGAGGATAACATTCTGTCCTTAATACAAGTAGGCTCTTGAGATTCTTAATAAGGGAGTTCCAGGAACATAGTAGGTGTTCACAGAGTGGTTGTGGTCAAGTTGAAGAATTGTCCTATTGAAAACCTTGAAAGAAATTGTATGTCTGGTTTCTTAACTATTTAAATTCTCAAGGCGCTTTAAAAACCACTTAGTGATTCTAGAGAGGAGAGAAGGGATGTCTTTTCAAGTAAATTATCATTAAGAATGCATAACACCATCTAAACTTGGAATAACCTTTCTTTCCCTTCCTTTAAGATTTAGTCTTCATGACCTCTTAATTGCTAAGTCAATTAGCCTTTTTCTCCGTCACCATCCCTCAGAATGTCAGCCTTTCTCTACAACCATCACCACCTTCCCCTCCTTGCCTGACCTGGCACCCAGCTCTCTCCTGAGGGAGCCCTCCACCGCAGCCCTCTAAGGGGGGGGTACCCTTTTATTTGTCTCACACTCACAATCTTCAGGGCCACTGCATGATGATAAAGGCTGTGTCATTGTTGTCCCTGTACCCCCCTTTGCTTCTCCAGTCTCTTCTGGAACCATATTCCTTGACCTTTTTATGAAAACCCTGTGCCTCTCTGGCTTATGTCATTGGACTCTACCTGCTCTTCTATCTTGTTGTGACACTTTCCCTGATTTATTAAGGATTCGGCACTGGCTTCGGGTCTTCCAGTAGAGCCCACCATCATCCTGGTGACTAGTGTTCACAAGGTCAGTCCCCCAGTAACTGCATCTTGGGGCTTGGACCACATCACCTCTAGTGAGCTTCTGCCCTTCTCAGCTTGTTACCTACTCACAGACTCACAAAGAAGACATTGTCATCACCCCTCACTGCATCACCTTCAAAATTCAAATGTCCCATCCAACACAGCTTCCTCTACCTTCACCCAGCCAGAGTGATTTTTTGAATTGCAAATTCATTCCTAGCTCTCTCCCAGTCTCCCAAACCCCAGCCATGGGCTTCTCCCTAGATTACTGCACTAGCCCTGCCCCCAACTACTTTCCTTCATTCATTCTGCCACCTGCATTTCACTCTTCACCCAGCAACCAGAATGATCCTTTAAAACATTAACTGAATCATGTCATTCCCTGCACAAAGTCTTCAGTGACTTCCCATTCTGCTCAGAATAGTGCCCACCCTACTCATCACAACCCAACAAAGCCCTTGTTTGCATGGATTGCCTCTCTGCATCTGGTCACTCTCCACTGGGCCTGGCCTTTCTCGCTTGGCGCTGCTTTGAGGACTTTGCATTTGCTGCTCCGCTTCCAGGCACATTCCCCTTTGAAACATGCAAGGCTCGTGTGTCCTTTGTTCGCGTCTCAGCTCATACTCCACCTAAGACCTCTCTGTGCATCTTTAGTCTCTTTTATCTGCAAATAAAAGCGTGCATGTGTGTGTTTGAGAGAGAGGCAGCATCTAACCACCATTGAGGTTATTTAACTGTTGATATGATATCTGTTTTCCCTTCTGGGGTCTAGGCTCTGGTGGGTAGGCACTTGGTCTATCTTACTCGCCTCTGACTCCCCAGCGCCTGATAGAACCTGGCTCATTAGGCATTTAATAAGTATTTTCTGACTAAATAATAAGCATTGTATCTCACTCTGCTCTTCAGTTTTCCATACTCTTCCTCCTCATACCATCCTGCCTAGGAAGTTCGTGCCCATTCCTCACACTGCAGCCCCATTGCCGTCTTCCCTGTCCTCACTCTCAGATTCCCAGAGAACCATGGCACAAACACTGTTCACAGCATGGACCATCTTACATGTTTATATTGATTTATGTGAATCTCTCACTAATGAATTTGCCCTTCCACCTACCTGCCACCTGCCCCCCCCTCCCCCCAGGTTGTAACTTCAGGAGAACAGGGGCTATGTGGGTTTTTTCTTTCTGTTGTATCCCCAGTACTGTTAGCATGGTGCTTGGCACACTGGGGTACCCAGGAAATATGTGTTAAATGAATGAATCTCCTAATAAGTTGTCATTCAATGAACCTCTTTCCACTGTGTCCTCTCTCCTGATTATCTACTTCCCTGATTGTTCTTGCTGGAGATTCCTTTAAAGTAGCATGCTCTTGGACGCTGCATCTGTTCTTTTCACGGCATACTCTGCTCCAAGATTATTGTTCTGCACCTTAACTTCACTGCCATTTCTTTGAGGATGACCAGACCTTGATCTTTTAACCTGACTTCTTTCCTGAATCACAGTGCTCAACTTCTGCTTGAGTTGTTTCGGTTCCCGTAGGCCCTCAAGTTGAAGAAAATCAAACGTTTTCATGTCTTACCTAGTCACCTGGGTTCCAAGCCCTAGAGTCCTCCTCAGTACCTCTCTGTCTCAGGTCACACCTCCACGGTCTCTCCAACTTCTGTTGATTTGACCAAAGAAATACCTTACATGTGTTGTCTTCCTAGCTTTCCCCCTCCTTCCCCCTCAGCAAGTTTCACATGCTACTTTTCTTCTACAACCCAGTTCTGCGTCTTTCTCTGTAGTCTACAGAGACAGAGGAAGCCCTCTCCTCTCTGGAGCCCACATCTTCTGTAGCCATAGGCATGCTTCATCCTTCGTGGGGCCCCTCAGTGATGGGCTGAACTTTGATGAATGTGGCTGTCCTGTAGCTTTTTGCATTAAGGAACCATAACTGTTTTTATTTGATTCTAAAACTTCTCTGCCGTTTTTTCCAAAGCACCTGTCCTTTGTGTACTCACAAATGCTTTCCCTTGGTATGTCTTCGGTAAACTTCTTCCACAAACAGAGCATATTCCGAAGCTCCGTGAAAAGCAGATGGCATCATTTCCAATGGACTATTACCTGTGATACCCCCAAGACAAGCCTAGCACCCTCCCACCCACCACCCATACCTCCTGCCTCCTGATGCATCATAACAGCCCCACTCTCGTCCCCTCCTGACTTCCATGCCCTGAATAGAGAGGCCTGTGAGGGAGATGCTCTAACTTATCTTTTAAGTTGCATTTGGAACCAAATGCTTCACTGGAGATGGAGCTGCTGATGGGTAGTCACAGGTGGGCCTGTGGGGCAGTCACACAGGACACTTTTTCAGCCATTTAGAATTACTAGAATTTGTTACTGCAAGTCTGATAGGAATTTATTTATTTATTTATTTATTTATTTATTTATTTATTTATTTATTTATTTATTGTCACATCTGCCATTTAATGATGTAAGCCTAGAAACTCCTTAAAGCTTCATAATTTTGGCTTATTGATCTCAAATTAGTAAGTCTTGATTGGTGTGAAATGATCTATAGGCAAAATCTCATCACAGGAGGCTTCTGAGTCATCCAAAGTGGAAGGCACTGCAAGTTTGCAGAGTACCGTGAAGGAGCAGTTACTATATTGGGCATTGGCTCTCTTATTTAATTCTCTGTGAGTTGTAGGTGGCATTCTCTCCATTTTAAAGATGTTTAAGGTTCAGAGAGGGTAAGTAACTACTGATGTCACACAGCGTCTAGTGAAGAGTTGACCTGAGATTTAATTATAGTTCTTGCTCTATGACTCTGAAAATTATATTCTTCCCACTGTACTAAGTAAATTTTACTTGTTTGCAAATCATAAGTAGCACTGAAAATGCTTTGTTTCATCTCATTGCATTGATTAGTTAAGTACCATTTTTTACATTCCCGTCTTTTTCCTCTCCACTGCCTTAGTGCATACTCCTTCCACGTGACGGCCGATGGGCAGATGCAGCCTGTCCCTTTCCCCCCCGACGCCCTCATCGGACCCGGCATCCCCCGGCACGCTCGCCAGATCAACACCCTGAACCACGGGGAGGTGGTGTGCGCAGTGACCATCAGCAACCCCACGAGACACGTGTACACGGGCGGGAAGGGCTGTGTTAAGGTCTGGGACATCAGCCNACGGGGAGGTGGTGTGCGCAGTGACCATCAGCAACCCCACGAGACACGTGTACACGGGCGGAAAGGGCTGCGTTAAGGTCTGGGACATCAGCCACCCCGGCAACAAGAGCCCTGTCTCGCAGCTCGACTGTCTGGTGAGTGAGCATGGTGGACAGGGCGTAGACCTTCATTCAGAAACTCGGACAGGGTGGGGAGAGACCAGGATGTACGAGCCACACACAGTGTTGATTGCAAGTGGGCAGCTATTTTCAGTGGTTTGTGGTCTTTCACTTGGAGGTTGAGAAAGCTGGTGAGGACACATGTCTTCTTTCAGTTTCTCAAGGCAGAGTCATCCAGTTCTTCACATGACCCTGCACCAGGACAGCTGTCGTCAGCCAGCCCAGTGCCTGGGAGCCGCCAAACCACTTGTTTTCCTACCTGGTAAAGGAATGTAGGAAAAGTGAGAAGCCCCCATGGTTTCTGAGAGAGTACACCTAACTGTCGTAATCTGTCATATTACGAGACGAGTGACTTCATACTTCATGTAACAAAACACTGCAGACCCCCCTTAGCTGTTGTATGGGTATTTGTCCTTGAGTTTTTCAGGAAATTTGAGAGTGATTTTCTTCCTTAGACTAGCAGTAGGATTTTTGCTACAGCAGGATGCTAGGTTAGTTTAACGTAATTAACATACACAAGATTCCCGTGACCTCACAAACTGGGAGGAAATCGGTTTTTTTTCCTGTCATTTAACACTCCTTAATCATGTCTTACCTCCACCCGATGCTGCTTAATCAGTCAAACCTATGATGCCTTTACACAGATAATGAATGGAGGGGCCTGTTAGGTCCCTTTAGCCTCCTGATAGTTTGGCTGCAGGAGCAGGACCTCTCCCCAGCCAGGCTGACTGTACCAGATTCCCAGGCGTGGCTGCTCAAGGACTGTGTGTGGGTTGCTGCACTAAGGAGCATGCGCTCCTGTGTGTGCAAATGACTCAGGCAGTTGGTTGACTGGTGGTGGTGGGAGTGGGCTAGATCTTTGCATTTATATGCTAATTAAGATTAAATATCTCAGTACTAAATTTTGTAGATCAAGTTTAAGTACTTCCCTAATTTCATGTAATTTTCTAGCATTAATCCACTCTATCATTGTCATAAGTAAAAATGGCTCATTAAAACCAGGAGGGAACACAATACTTTTATGGATTTCTGCTCTCGTGTTAATGCTGTTTTCCTTTCCTCATGAGTAATCTCCTGATGGTTTTTGTCTCTACAGAACAGGGATAACTACATCCGTTCCTGCCGATTGCTCCCCGATGGCCGAACCCTAATTGTGGGAGGGGAAGCCAGCACTCTGTCCATCTGGGACCTCGCCGCGCCAACCCCGCGCATCAAGGCGGAGCTGACATCCTCGGCCCCCGCCTGCTACGCCCTGGCCATCAGCCCCGACTCCAAGGTCTGCTTCTCCTGCTGCAGCGACGGCAACATCGCCGTGTGGGACCTGCACAACCAGACGCTGGTGAGGTGAGTCCGCAGGATTCCTCACCAGGGCGTGCGGTGGAGCTGGTTGTACCTACCACAGTGTGCCAGAGATCTGTATGTGTGTCTGTGTGTCTAAGAGATGAAATATAATTATCTTACTAAAAATTCTTAAGAATAGGTTCATTTTAAGATTCTAGAAACAGATTATTAATTAAAATGTTATTTTCAGCAGTATTTGAACTTTATCAAATGAAAGGGGTTGCCTTCTCTTTTTTTTTTTTTTTTGACATTATACTAAGCAGTGTCAATTCAGGTTTTAAAAAAATGAGGTCACGTTTACATAATTAATGTACATAAAGTTCCCATGACCTCATGAGCTCATTAAACATCTGTAATTTGCCATCTGTTCTTGCTAACAAACCACCATTGTCACTAGACACTTCTGAGAAGATTCATGGTGCTGTTCTTGGTGCCACATATATCTGACATGCTCATTCCTTCAACAAATGGCTATTGAGCACCTACTATGGGCCCAGACGTGTGTTTGGTACTTTTCACCTGAAAAGGTCTGCACTATCTGTAGTCCCACCTTTAAGGGTTGATAGACACAACCAAGACGTCTGTTTAGAAATGAGATTGTAGAGGGTGGTGTTGATATGTAAGGCCCTGGAACAAGTCTCCACATGTCAGCACCAGTGAGAGCAGGAAGCCTGAGGTGTGATCAGCTAACGGGTGTGAGAAGGCTGTAATCAAGCCTCCTACAAGTCGGGGGCGTGTGCAAGGAGAAGAGGCTTTTGCTGTCTTTCTGTAAGATATTTGGCAGGACTGAACTCTGTCTATGATTCCAAAAACAAAATAGTCATCACTTTGTTCCCTTTGGGTAAGGCTCTCAAGAGGAACTGCTTCTAATCCCTTCTTCCCCTGAGTGTCTTTGACGGTTTACCAGCTCCTGGGGCAGCCAAGTCACGCTGAGTTTCTCGCGTGTTCCTTACTTGAGAGCACAGCCACCTGCAATCGCATTGTTGCTAACTGGCGGAGTTCGTTCTGCTGCTCCCTGCGCCCACCCACAGCTCTGTAGAAGGGAAATATTCCTTACTTCCTCTCAGATTCTCTGCTTCCTGCATATCGCAGTGAGAATAGGCCTCAGAATGTGGCTTTGATAGTTCATAGGCAAGCCACAGTGCATTTCCTTTTGTTTATTTCAGTTGGAGACTTTTTCCCATCAGTTACAGTGTGTTTTAGCGTAAGTAATTTCAAGTACTTCCTAAGTGTTTAAAGATAAACGAAAGTACAGGAAGTACAGCTTCTCAGTTTAACTTTAATCTCTCTCATGTATATGCTTTGTCATTACTTTGAATAATTAGAAAACATAATAAACCAAAATGAAATCCACAAATAGGGCCTGCAATGAAATTGATTGCTGAGGCATTCTAAAGTGAGTTCACCTAAAAACTAACTTTTCAAGGATTTTCCCTCTATTTTGACATTTTCAGGCAATTCCAGGGCCACACAGACGGGGCCAGCTGTATTGACATTTCTAATGATGGCACCAAGCTCTGGACGGGCGGCCTGGACAACACGGTCCGATCGTGGGACCTGCGCGAGGGGCGGCAGCTGCAGCAGCACGACTTCACCTCGCAGGTGAGGCCTCGTGCCCGTGACATTTCAGAAGCCGTGGTTTTGTGAAATGAATGACATGCTTAAGGAGGGTGGTTCCTTACTGTTCGATGAAGTCACTTTTGACTCTGGATTAGATAGCGAAAATTCCATTGTTTTCTCTCAAAATACAACAGCATATATTTTATTAAAGGATTAAGAAATCTCTTTTATTATAAGCTTTTAGCAAGTTTTTATTTCAAAGTCTATTACTCTGTATATATTTGAATTGTACATAATTTATCACTAAATTATATTGTAGAGATCTCTCATTACTTTGAGATCACCCATTTGGCTTTGATTTTTTTCCTGTGCAATTTAAATAATCTTGATTTCCTTTATAATTTAAGTAGCATCCCTAAAAGAAACAGTGCTTCCCAGTTAAAGGAGGTGTGTCCTCTGTAGCCATTGTCACTGTCACCTGTTCTTATTCTAGATCTTTTCTCTGGGCTACTGCCCGACTGGAGAGTGGCTTGCAGTGGGGATGGAGAACAGTAATGTGGAGGTGCTCCATGTCACCAAGCCAGACAAGTACCAGCTCCATCTGCACGAGAGCTGCGTGCTCTCGCTCAAGTTCGCCCATTGCGGTAAGCAAGCCTTTCGACTTTTTCTGTCGGCCAGCCCCGTTCCTCCCACCCTTCTGCTGACTCATTTTAAGTCAGGTCCTTTAGTCGTTAACATGTCCCTCTTCAAAACTGTACCACTTCCTTACACATACCAACTTCCCTAATGCTGTGTGATTTTTCTGGCATTAATCCACTGTGTCCTGGTCATGGTATAAATACTCATTGAGTCTAGTAGAGTGGGCTTTATTTTTCCAGTGAAAACAACTCTTGTTTGTTGCAAATTAGATGAGGTTCCTGTGAATAGCTTGAAGCTCTGTAAAGCAGATCTCGGTGTCTGACAAAGTATCAGGAACGCTATTTTTTTTTTTTGAAATCCTCCTGTAGGCAAATGGTTTGTGAGCACTGGGAAGGACAACCTTCTGAACGCCTGGCGAACGCCGTATGGAGCCAGCATATTCCAGGTAACACGTCACTGCTTTAACCTTTACTTACCATGTGCTCACTGCATGATAGTTGTTTAACGAAACTCTTTCCGTGCGTCCTTGCAGATTAGTATTGCACGTAAGTGTCCCAGGAGGTAGGAGCTAGTATTGTTCCCATTGCACAGAGGAAAAAGATTGTGCTGAGGGAGGCTGGTGTCACAACTACAGGCCGGGAGCTGGGACCTTCCGCATTCTCTCTCCGCCCAGAGCCACGGTGCTGTGCCTGCCGCACTCACGAGCTCCTCATCCCTTGATCCTTTAGACACTAGAGTGGACATTTTCTGTTATGTGATTTTCTTTCTTTTTTTTTTGCATTGTCTTTTTTTTTTCCAATATTTGAGCATTTTGCTGACTACTCTTACTAGTATTACTATTTATTTGAATTTTCTCCCAAAGAAGAGTGTTATGGAAAAGTTCAATAAATCTTGATTGATTTTATAAACTTATGTTCTTAATGACTTAGTGGTACTTTGTGTAATTTGTGAAATTATCTGTAGAAGTAAATTTTAGACGTGTTACACACAGCCTTTCTCCTCACTCTTACTAGCATGTGAGAATTTCATAGGCAAGTTAAAAAAGACCTCTTTTCAACTTTATATATTTAGGATATTATTTTTTTGGTGGTGGTTTTGTGGGCCAGGAGGGGATCATAACAGATTTACAGTTTTCTTGACCAGTGATATTTAGTCATCATAGAGTAGATTATAGTTGATTCCAAAAATGCATAGATTGAGTGAAAGTACTGTGTAAGATAATCAGTAGAAGAAAAATAGCTGATTCTTGGCTGTCATAAAGTTTATAATCTGTACAGTGGCACATTTTTTGTATTGTGGGTCATAGCCTTTTAAATGGTCCCAACCAAGACTATAAAATCTATCGATCGATCAATAAGAATCCTTGTTTTGTATTACATATTGTGTGTATACTGGGTTGCAAAGTAAAATGTATTATACAGGTTGCGATCAAAAAAAAGTTTCAGAGCCCTGGCCCAGTGGCTCAGTTGGTTGGAGTGTCATCCTGTGCACCAAAAAAGGTGCAAGTTCGATTCCCGGTCAGGGCACATACCTAGGTTGTGGGTTCGATCCCTGGTTGGGGCGCCTACCAGAGGCCACCGATCGATGTTTTCTCTCTCCTTCTCTCTCAATCTCACTCTTCTTTTCTCTAAAAATCAAATTAAAAAAAAATAAACATTAAAAAGGTTGAGAAACATTGGTAGTGGGTTAGCAGCTACATATCAAACATTCATTTTTTTAAGTGTTCAAAGTCTTAGTTAAAATCCTGTGAGTATTTTTGTCTGCCTGTCTGTTAGCACAGTTCAAAGTTAACATTGCCCCTTGTAGCTTCTGCAGTTGAACAAGGTATCCAGAACTCAGAAGTACAGTACATTTTTCTTTCTAACGAACTAATTTGTGTTCCAGTTTTTTCACAGGGGAAAATAGGAAATATTTTTACATTTCATATTAAAAATCTATAGTGTGTGTTTTTTTTTAAATGTATTTATTTTATTGATGACACTGCTACAGATGTCCCCATTTTCCCTTTCTCTGCCCACCCCCACCCATCCCCCACCCCTTCTCCCCTCTGGTCATTACCACACTGTTGTCTGAGTCCATGGGTTATGCATATATGTTCTTTGGTTAATCCCAGTGACTTCAGTGCGCTTGCCCATGTATTTTCTCACTTGAATGCTATGGCAACGCTCTAGAGAGGGCAGACAGGTAAGGAGTCTTTACCTGTTTGCCTTCAGGAGGAAGCTGAGGCTCAGGCAGGTTAAGTGACATGTCTGGGGTTTGTAGCTCCACCTAAATCCAAGTCGTATGAGTGAAGCTTAGGGTTTTTCATACTAAGACACCCTGCTCTTAACTGTCTGGAGAACAGGATTTGAAATTGGTCCTGGCTTCAGTAGGTCACTTGCCTGGCACCTGATGTCCCCGGGGCAGAGCCTGTAGACTGACATGGAGAAGGCTCCCTCAGGAGGCCCTGACTCCGCTGCACTAAGGACGCACCATCACTGCCTTGCCTCGCTTGGGCTCCTGTTCGGCCAGCGGGACATGTTATGCTCCCTTTTGCTCTAAGTCCCCCAGTCCTGCCTCGCAGTATTAATGGGTTTCTCTTCTCTTTCAGCATTTAACCTTTTTGTTTATGTTTCTTTCCCAGTCCAAAGAATCCTCATCGGTGCTTAGCTGTGACATCTCTGTGGATGACAAATACATTGTCACTGGCTCTGGGGATAAGAAGGCCACAGTTTACGAAGTTATTTATTAAGGACAAATCTTCATGCGAACTGGACTCCTCCTCCTTGTAGCACTTTGTCCTGTCATCCCCGCCCCAATGCGCTCCCCCATCTAAAACCAAGGATTTCAAATACTCTTCGCAGTTGTGGCATTGAATCCCCCTGCCCCCCTTGCTATTGAATTGTGAATACTCATTAAGAACCTGTGATACCAAATCTTCAGCTCTCTACTTGGAAGAACGTGGAATAACCATACCTAACAGTGAACGGAATCTTTATGTATTATATCTGTAATATATTTATTTTGTTTAAAGAAGGCTTTCTAACAATGACTGACTAATAAAGCTGTCTGCTCCTGCATTGGTAATGAAGATGCATTGTATTTGATACCCCTTCCCCCCTTTTTTTGGCAAAGGAGGGCAAAGGAAGGTTTAAAATAATCGATAAAAATGTCACTAAATGTAGACTAATGACTGTATAGAGATGTGAAATGTATAATTACATATTGAAGCAATATGTTGCTGTGTTGTTAGGTTTATTTTGTTTTTGTTTTCTACTTATTTTCAAGATGTTTGAAAATTTGAACAGTTAGACAATGACAGGCCACATCCTATTCATTCGCGTCTATTTGGACAACTTTAACCAGTATATCTATAGCTTTAGATTATATTCGATAAAAGTAATTGGACTTCTTTTTTGTTTCTTTTTTCTTTTTTTGACTTGTTGACAAGTGTCTTTGTAATATGTTTTTAATTCCTTTTTTATTGTATTATAGACAGATGAACAAGTTAAATTTGGCCTCAAAGAGAGAACTTAATCCCTCTGGATATTTTTGCCACATTTCTTTGCAAAGGGAGATGTTTATCTTTGGGCAGTTTTGTCATTAGGAGAGATTATGGGCTATTTTTTGGCATGTTCTTCTCAAACTGCACAGATGCCTCCCGCTGTGCAAGTCACGTCTTTTACAAAACAAGGACAGCAGAGAAGGATTTGCGAGGACCTCCCGCTGAGCCCCAGAAAGAATGGACTCTCACCTGGGGTGAGGACTTGCTCTCCTTACCTCCAGCTCTTTCCATGTCTTAGTTGGATGTTCCCGAAATGGACACAGGCTGTGCCATTGTGCCAGAAACATTGTGTTACCTTTTATGTTGTCGTTGTTGCTGTTAAACTATGATATGTGACCCCTTTTTTTATTATTATTTTTTTGTTTGAATGCTTTAAAAACCTTTTAAGTCTGTGGATCTGCTGATGTACAGTGCCTTTGCTGCTATGGATCAAAATCAAGAGAACCGTGTAGATAAACTTTATTGTATACGTAGAAAATTACTTAATTTCATACTAGAAATGGATGGATGCTGCAAGTTGAAATGGGCTGTCCATTGACGTTCCTAATGTGGTAGCAGAAAAAAAAAAATGGTGTCTTAAGTGCTTAGTGTTTGATGTCATTAACAGTTTCGTAAAACTCTACAGTGTAGAAAGATTTTGATACTAAACTGTGCATTGTACATAGTTTTAATGCATTGTATTGACCACCAGTACTTCTATGATGGTAGATTGTTTGTGCATTCAGACTTTTAAGCATTAAACATAAATAACTTCTAGTATGCTCATTTCTAATTCTTTGTTCTGCTGGCGTTAGTTTATTTTTATCTTGGACTATGCCACTTCTAGCTATTAAAAGTTACTAGTTTTATTCAAGGAGATTAGTGTTAAATTAATGTGGGTTTTTTATTGTTGCTATTTTACTTTTACTTTTACTTTTACTTGAGAAGAGCAGGAGGGGGAGAGGTTATCAAAGACCAGTTGCTACCAAGTATTTATTGAGTCCCTCTTTGGTGTATAAAACTACTGTCCATCAAAAAGTTATGTTACTCAAAGCCTTGCTGCTTTAGAACTGCTGCTGAGCATGGATACCACTAGCCATCTGTGCCTGTTTAAATATGTTTATTAAAATTAAAAACTCAGTTTGTCACACTAACTACATTTCAAGTGTTCAGTAGTCACATGTGGCTATTGGCTACCATATTGGATGACACACATTTATAGGACATTTCCATCATCAAGGTAGATTCTGTGGGACTGACTCTGCTTTAGAGTTGGCCCACATGTATCACATCCAGCCACGTGGGTTTGGGAGACATTTCCAACATGGTGCACTGAAGTCTTTGAACGCACAAGACATCTTGCACTGCTACTGGTTGGGTGTGAAAATTCGGCATGAGGAGGGGCTTAATTCTAAATTCCTGGGGCTCAAAAACCTGACATTTTAAAGCTCCACCGGGTAGAAGGCTGGGGGCTGGGAGCCCCACATTGGTCTGAGTGTGCTCGTGCTCAGCTGTGAGAGGTGTTGACTTTACGTGCTAAGAGTTCAGTGTTCATCAACACGGCTGGAAGCAGCACTTCAAGTGCGAGTACTATGAGAGCTGCTACATCAGATGATAACATTTCTAAAGTATTCTTAGCTCAATTAATTTCAGTGTATCCTTATTAAAACTTCTTAAAAAGTGATAGAGATTTGGAGCAAAAGGAAAATCATTTGGCACAAACAGTATGACATTTGCATATTGCATTTATGCTTCCAGAAGGAGAAAGTGCCTCCCTCAAGAAGTTAAAATTTCTTTTTGGTGCCCGACATCAAATCTGCGATGCCCTTTAGTTTTCTCTGATCCCAAACATTGTCTGTTATACTGGAATAAAAACTGAAATGAATGCATAAATAGACCTATCCCTTTAAAATAAATAGGCATCTGTTTCTTATTGTGGAGGTTTTATCGGATTAGATTGTTGTATCTTTGATATAAATCTTGGGCCTGGATTGATCTGCACAGAAATCTTAATGTTGATGTCATTATAACTTGGTTTACCATAGTTTTTACTCCAAGGAGCCTGAAGGACAGCAAAGATAGGAGTCCCCTGAACCAGGGGAAAAGTAGTTCCAATGAAAGAGCAGAGTGGTGTAGGACTGGAAGATTGACTTACACACAACTGCCAAGAAATAGGAAAAAAACCAGACTAAAGAAGCCATCAAGACCTTCCTAAGACTGCCAGGTCAAGTGTAGAGGAAACTCTAGGATCTTCAAGTTTCTGCAGATAACACACCTCACTTCCGAGCCACTACTTAGCCAGGTCTGCCGCTTGGCCAGTGAGCTGCAGCAGGACAGCCTTGTCCTGGAACGGTGAACGCTGAAACACCTACACGTGGTTGGAATTCCACAGTCATGGAATAGAAACTCCGTTCCAGAGCATCTGCCCGTAGCCTCAGAACTGGGACGCTGCGGCCATGAGCAGGGGAAGCCAGCAGCCCACGGTGAGAAGGCTGCACACTAGGCTGTGAGCAGTGAGGTCGTCAGTGCCGCCCTCAGCTGTCAGCCTGGCCACTCCTAGCACCCTCACTCTGGACATTCCTGCGCTGGCATTTGTATACTAGAACCAGGATGTCCAACAAAGGGTTTGCCAACTGAGATTATTGGCAGCTGTAAGGAAATCTGTACTCGAATTCCTTGCATTAACTAAGCAATTACATAATTGCAAAGATGTCAGTGCAAAAAAACTTCCTTATTTTACATTCTTAGCTGCTCATTTCTGTAGCTACCCTGCTCCTGGACCACCTGTAGAGTGACATTCAACAATGAGCTGTGGGGCCTGCCACCCAGCAGTGCCCAACCATTCCTGCTGTTTTGAGCTAATGCATTGATTTGCCTTTCTATTCCAGCTTTCATTCAGAATTGACCGTGGAAATGGCTTATTTTTGATAACCTGAGCACGAGAACACTTAGTAATGATGCTATCATAATGGTAGGAACTAACTCTTTGGGTTTAAGCTGCCATTAACATTAATTTTAGTTTTGTTTGGGCTTTTGGCAGCAAGTGACAGAATCGTTTGGGTCCCAGATAGAATCAGTAGGGGAGCTGATCTCTAGTTTATCCCAGGGAAGGAAATTCTCAGATGGGATCTTAGATATTGGGCCTGCAAGGAAGGAGAATTCCCACAGGGCTGCCTGTGGTCCAGAGGAAAATCATGAGCACAAGTCTTTTTACAAAAGATCCCCTTGATCTCACAGCTGGCCTACACAGGCTGAATGCCGGATGCTGAATTTACATGAGCGCCAGAAGGATCGGAGTTTGAGAAAAGTGGTTTACCCAAACTCCCTACCCTCCCAAGGAAAACCAGCTGACCTGAACCCCAAGGCTCCAAACTTTTCAGAATTCCGTGCCAGTTGCCCAATGTGGCAGATTGGAAGAAAAACGAAAATGAATTTTCCACACGCTTCCACCTCCCTGCTTTTTGCAGCTCAGTTTCATGCAAGTTAACTGGCTTGAGATTTCAGCATCACAAAGCTCCTTAATAACTCAAACCCATGACAAATTGTGTTCTGAGTTCCTGCGATGTGTGTACCTACTGTGGACTGAATGCAGTACATACAAGGCAAAAACCCACTCTTCGGTGAGTGGGCTTCCCCAGGCGCGACCCCGGTGACCCTGGCATCCCACTGCCTCAGGCAGGCAGCCTCCCTATTAACTTCATATTGTGGCTTAATGAGAACATCCAGAACCAACAAGTTTAATGTTATTTTGGAAAAAGAGTTAAACTCACATAAATGTCATGCTTTATTTGACTTGGGCCCAGCAAGATAAACACACACACACTGGAAGGTAATTGTGAAGTATTTGGGTTTTGAGAATTTGGGCAGTAAATTTTTGGACTCAGTTAAGGTGGAGTCCAAACTAATGCCCAAATGGTTTTTCATGGCCCAGCTTTTCTCCCCACACCCAGGCAGCAGTTGGCCATTTCCCAGTCTTTACTAGATACCTCCACAGTCTCTTCTAAAAGCAACTTTTAGGGGTACCCTGGCCATATCCTGTGTCATACGGCAGAAAGTTTGACTTGAGCTAGAGATTTTTGTTGGGGAAGTAGCAGAATGAGTTAGCGGTGGGAACTATGTCAAAGCTAGAAGAATGCTGCCGGCCTTGTGATCACAAGGGCTCCAGCAAAGAAAATGACCAGGTCAGCATGTACCCTTCCTTCTCCCAGGGCCAGCACCTCGGGGACAGGAAGAGACACTGACAGGAACCATCACGAGAGATGGCCTGAGACCCCCGAACCTCCATTCAGCAAGCAGGGCAGTTTTCCTTACAGTACAACTTCTCATTAGTTGAAGAACTTCAGTAAAATGCCTATTTCCCCCTAAAATGTTTTGCTTAAATACTATTTACTTTTCAATGCCTATTAGGTCAGGTCTTGGCATCATGTATCCAACGCAGAAAAGCTTGGTGCAGCTGAGAACAGAGCACCAGCCCCTGAAGCCTGTTTGTGGTTCCCTGATGAATGAAAACAAAACTTTGTTTCTGGATTCACTCAAGAAATCGTGTTAAACTTTGTTCTTAAATCTCTTTCAGATTTTCACAGCTCCTTTTATTTTTCCTCCAAGTAATCAGTGTCAACGAAATGTAATTTCAAGTGTTATGTCCGGGCTGGGAAACTCGGGCTTTCCACAGCGATGGTCTGTCCCCCCACTGCAGGCACATCTTAGGCCTTCAGGTCTCAGTGTGGACCAGAGCAGCCTCCTGGGCACCAGACAGTTGTGAAGATGTCTTGGAGGCCTGTGGCCTTGGTGCCAGATGCTGGATCCTTGAGAGAGGGTCTTAAAAACAAAGCATAAAAATGCCCTAATGAGATTTTCCGTGGTGACTCAAGTTGACTAAAAGTGAAGGATTTAGCCCCAGTCTCTGAGGGGCGGACTTGCTTTCACACTGAGTGGTTGGGCTGGACCTTGCAGACCTTCTGTGGGTGCTCTTTGAGCCAGAAGTACCAAACGGACTTGAGTTAGTTCCTCCGGGCTTCTGGAAGACACCATATTCACCTCATGGAATTTTGTGTGTGTTTGGCTATGTCTTTTTCTCGCCTAAGATTTGTTTTTGCAAAAGTTACAGAGAACAGTGTTATGCTGTCTTTTTCCTACTACATGTCATTAGGTTTGTAAAATTCCTGTAAACTTGTAACCTGACCACAGGGGGAGTAAGATATGGCACGCTGGTGTTGCTCCGTCTTTTTCTCCTCGGCTTTAATGAGATATGACATATAAAGTGAAGGCATACAAGGTGATGATTTTATACACACATATATTGTGAAATGGTTGCCATAATGAAGTTAGCTAAAAACGTTTGGAAACTGAGGGCTCCACAGCCCACAGCTGGGCCTCAGGGCCTTGCCCTCAGCGGGAGCCGCGGGCCATGTTCCACCTCTGAGGCGCGTTCGAAAACCAAGCGTTAACTTCTGGGTTTACGGCGTTCGTAACCAAAATGTTCGCCAACAGAGACGTCCAAAAACTGGGGTACCACTGTATGAGATTGTCCAGAGCTTACTCATCTTATAGCCGGAAGCTTGTACCCTTGGACCGATATCTTCCCCTCCCCCCATCACACACGCACTACCTCTCCCCAGACCCTGACAACCGCTATTCTACAGTGTTTCTATGAGTTTGGCTTTTAAAAAATTTCACACAGAAGTGAGATCATGTAGTATTTGTCTTTCTTCATCTGATTCATTTCACTTATTTCACTTAGCACAATGCCCTTGAGGTCTACCCATGTTGTCGTAAATG